ATTAGCTATAAAGCATAAAACACATTATTAATTGAATAACAATAATTTGGATTTCAGTCTGTTCTTTTTCACATCCTTGTAATGGCATGTAAGTAATTATAAGATTTAAAATAAGTGAATACGTAGGGGATTTACGTGTTACTGGTAATTGATGGGTTAATCCCTGGCACGAAGGGTTATATGCATACATTTAAATCTATATTTATATCTGTAAAGGAAGCTTATGTAAACCTAATTAATGTTTATTCTAACTCGTTTTAAACTTCGTTAGAAAGTGTCTCTACTTTAAATGTCTCCTTATCTCACCACTGATCTAACTTTCTACTAAGTAATGACCATTAAACTCTTTTAAAGACTGATAAGCTACTCAAAAACCATTAATAAAAACAGTAATGGACTTTTAATTTTCGCTCTCCTCCTCCTAGATCCTTAGATTAACTCGAATTCTTTCCTAACTTCTGCACAGCCAATTGTCGCCGGTAAATGTTATTTTGATTTTAATCGATCGTAAGTGCGGATGACGTCAAAGCCAGCCCCAGGTGAGACTGGCGGGAGACTGGGGCTACCCCGTAACCGTAACCCAGTATGCGCCATAGACTGTGGGGCCCTGAAATTCGCCGCGTCACGAAATGAACACACACCAGAGGAGCAACTAAAATGCAGACCGTGGAACGAAAGGAGGAAAGCGAAGGAAAAGCCGAACACGCATATCCATATCCAACAACTGGCTGGCTGGCTGGCGGTTTCATGGTGCAAACAAATCAGAAATCACAAAGAGAACAAAAAACTCGCGGATCCGGGGCAATTAAAAACAAAAAAGGGAACTCAGGGGCTCCAAAAGGACACCTTCGCGGAGTAGCAATTGCAGTTCCTCATGGGGCTAGGTTGGGGCTGGTGTGGGGGTTTCTATAGGACGAGTACAACACTTACCCTTGACATAATTAGGCGGAAGAACTACTCGCGGCTTGGCTGTGTAGTTCAATTGGGCCTCCGTGGCTTCGCTCAGCCTGCAAAGTGAGCAGCACAAAACAAAGGGGAGAAAATTCAAATGCAGTCTGGGCTATGGGGGATGGGGTTCTTTCTTTATGTGTGGGGGAAACCCCAACGTTTAAGAAGGGATGGGCATGGAATGGGGATGATGTCTGCCACATGCAACTGTAGCAAACTTTGTCAATTTAAGTCTGAATTTGAAATTAACTTCCTTCGTGCTCGTTCGATTCGATTCTATAGTTTTCGGTTCTGTTCCGCTTAACCTCCTGGCGGCAGGCGAATAATATTAGTTTGCTCTTTGCCAATCGGCCGAAAAATGCCGTGCAGGATTCTCATTTGACTTGTGATCCAATTGACCTTGCCTTCGGCGAACAGAGAGTCGCCATATTTCGAGCCGAAATTCTAACTGAAGCGCAGCGATTTTGATTTTGATTCTTTGTACGAAGGTTCCCCTTGAACTGGAAACAAAGCGGGCGATTCTGTGTGCACTTGGCGTCTCAGATCTCCAGATGGATGGAGATGGAGATGGAGAAGTTGTGCGAGTGGAGAGGGAAGGAGAGATGGAGGTGGAAATAGGAGCCTTACCACATCAGTATGAATCCCAGTCCAAACGATAGAAATGCGTTTGTGCTGAATTTGTCGAGCATGATGTTGGGGCGACGGCGACGGGAAAGGATTTGTAACTCAGACCTCAAATCATCTCACTTTACACCGACGTGGGAATTTCATAATTCGGTTTCTGTAACACAATATATTTTTCGATCATTTGCATTTCATTTTCGTTTTCCGACGATTTTCGTTTCGGAACTCTCTTACATTTTTGTTTTGATTCGATTTTTGCTCTCGGGCTTTGCACACACTTTGCTTTCGAACACAACCGCGGTACGGGGAGCACTGAACAAAAGATAGAGATACGGGGGATCGGGATCCTTGCGGCTATCCGCGGCTTATCCGTGGGGTAGTGCCTCCGGCTCGGCTGGTGTTCGGAACTCGAATAAACCAAGAGCCGAGGTCTGGCGGCGGAAGAGTGCTCATCTAGATACGAGTATCTGTATCCGCATCTGTGATATGTAGATTCCCCACGCCCGGGTGTGTGGGCGTCCGGCCGATGGTGGATTGCGGCCGTAACACTGCTATATAGTCTCCACAGTCCCAACTCCCTAGGGTTTGCTACTTTTTGAGATTTTGTGTATGATTTTGGGATATATCTAAGCGATTATTCAGGAAAGCGGACCATCTGTAAAAGTTGTTGTATTATAATAACTAAAAGGTTTTTTACCTTTATTAAAAATTAAAAAAAAAAATTACTTTACTATTGGGGAAATATTAAGAGATTATATATTTAATAATATAAATAAGTTTATTATTAAAAGGATTTTGAACAAGAATAAAATTTCACATCAAGTCAAACAGGTTTATTTTAGTCTGAAAATCATTATTTTAATATCAAGAATTTCCATATTTCCACAATAATATAATAATTATGGCTTTAAATCCCCGTGAAAGAATTAGAATTATTTAATTCTAGTTTTTTTTTTTTGGTATTTATCCCTATCTATAAAGGTTTTATTTAGAATATATATATGCTCTAAATCTAGAATATTTTCAGCTGCGAAGATTCACTGTAGTTGTAGTCGCGGAAGAAGCTCCGCCCAGCGGTCAAGACATGTGGCCGGTGTACCGATGGTCTGGTAATTGCCCCCGGCACAGGGCACAGAGCACACTTCTCGCCAAGATTCAATTGAATCGCGTGCCAATTCTACTTAAGTCGCTGCACAGAGACGGACAGGCGGACAGTCGGTGTAACAGCTCAATCTATGCGACTATTTATGAGATGCGACCCGATATCTGGCGTAGATACGTAGATACTTTCGCAGATACGCGGATGGATGGAGATAAATGGCCAGATAGATGGGCAGATAGAGTTTCAATTGCACGCTTCCTGGCAGGCAGCAACAGCTCAAACCTAACATAATTGCCTGGACATGTGGATGCCACACATCTATATAGTACATCCACTTCCTATAAATTACTTTCGGCGCTGACATTGACAATGGCCGTGGTTGACGGGTATTTTTTGCGCAAATTAAAAATGTGCCACTTCCAGATCTGCCACTGCCATATACATATGTATATAATAGGCGGATTCCCGGGTATATGCAGATCGTGAGATGAACCGTATCCGGCTATGCCCGGCCTCAAGTGGTGTAGGCAGCCTCGGAGGCGACACTTTTCGCTTGCATGGATCTCGGATCACTCGCTGTCGCATTACGTATGTATATTCGGTTGGCTAATGGGATTCACTTTGATTAGATACACACGCACTAATTGACTCCACGCGTCCATTAATATTCATGCTCGGGATCCTGGCGAGCGGCTATGTTTAAAGATTCCCCATTAGATTAATATTAATGAACATTTAAATACGGCAATTTTGACGCGGTTTTTTTTTGTTATATAAAAGTCTGACCGACTGGTATTATGCGGGGATTTTCGATCAGCCAGCAATTACATTAATTACGCATTTAGGGACTTTTATTAATGCTTCAGCGCGAGGGGGTTCCATTTCCGAAAAGCGGCCTAAAATTACACAAGTTTAACGCTCGCATCACGCGAGTACTCCATCCTCGCACTGTCCACCATCCAACAATCCATCCATCCATCTGGGCAAAAGCCTACTATTCAGATACTCTCAGATGGGGGAAATTACCGCGCTGCGGGAACGACGCGCGCCCGAATCCGAATCCGTTCGCCTTCGCTCAGGAACTAAACTGAACTGAACGGAACGGAACTGAGCTGTGAAAATACGCGAATTTCTTTGGCCTGGCCTGGGCCAGCCGCTCGCCTTGCCAACTTTAATGTCGACATACGAAAAAAAAATCCCCCAACAGCGGCGGCTCAGGCACGACAACCAACTGTAACGGGGTTTCCACTTACAGGGAGTTGGGGCTAGGGGATTGGGGGCTCCTCTGGTGGGCTGGAAGGACGATTGCATGGGCACCGCGGCTCGGCTTGCTCGCTAAATTGGTGTTGGGTTCCCTGGAAGTGTGTTTGGGATTTTCTGGTCCCCATACCCTTGCTGCTATTCCATTCTAGGACGATCAAATGCTTGGGCGCTGCTTCCAATGACTGTCATATGTCCATCTAGGTCCATATATTTCAGGGGACTATAAAGCAGGATATAACCTTTTATAAAAAAGCTTTACTTGTTTACGCACATATGCCACTCTATAATTTCCCTGTTCGGGGTCTCCCAATGAGCTGCATGCGAGTTGACTTGAAATTTCCACAAAGTAACCAAAACACTAAACAACTGCCACACACTGCGTCGTCGTCGACGGCGGCGTCCCCACCTGGCGTGGCCACTAACCATCGCCCCAAGGGCTGGAAACGAGGCCTGACTGACTGAATGGCCCCCCTAGGCCCCTCAGTCCACGGTTCTCGTGGGAAATTTCTATATGGCTGTGTAAATACAAATCGCGTTTGGTAGGACCTAGGACTATAATATATATACTATACATCGCACTGACACAGACATGGCGTGCATATACTACCTCGGCTGGAGCCACTACCAATGCTGTTCATATGGACGGACGGCAAGGTAAGATAGGAAGAGAAGAGAGAGAGCCAGCCATTTTGTTATGACATTCTCGCCAACTGACAATGAAACAAAGTTTATTTTATTTTCGCTTCGATTGTCTTGCTGTTGATTCCGTTTTATGTCTGCTCGACGTTGAGCTATGTAGTTAGCAGCTCGCGAGTCACTAGAGCCAACTTGTTGTCAGCCAGTCAGTCAGGCAGTTAGGGCTAATTGCCGCCTGGCAGTCCGTTTTCAGGGTATCTGGATGCGGCTTAGTGGCTGTCGTCGTGCTTTATGGCCAGTGCGCGTGCGGCGCAGTCAGTCACTTTGATTAATGGCCAACTGACTGACTGACTGGCGGTGACGATGACGCCAACAAAGGGCGACATCTCCGGGCAACTTCCTGATTAAGAGGCTAAAACTCTCGTGCTCCGCTTATAGATATCACTTTATATATTATATGCCTGGGCATACAGTTCACATTAAGCCTAGAGAAAGGAGTCGGAAACTAAAACTAGACAATGGAGGCTCCCTGCTGGTTGGTACGCTGGTTGATCTTTACGTGCGTCTGCCGCTTCTTCTCCTCCCTGAAGGCCTCCGTATTGGCCTTCTTCTCGATGCGGCGCTCGTTGCGGTACTCCTTTAGCAAGCGCTTCCGCTCCTTCTTCTCCTCCGCGGTCTCGTCCTTGGGCCGAATGGAAAGCACGCTTAATGTGGACAGCACCGATTTGGCGCACAGGGACTTGGGACCGGTGGCATCAGCGGAATCGTCCGCTAGGTTGGCCAAGGCTTTGGCTGTCAGCTGGCCGTCAACGCCACCGCGCAGGACATTGGCGGGAAGGCCTGTCTTCGGGTCAATCAGGATGGGAGCTGGGTTTGTGCTTGCGCTGGATCGACGACTGCGACGCGGCTCGTCGATCAGCTTGGGGTGATTGTAGATATTTGAGTAGGTGGAGAGGATGGACTCGCAGTCCCACTTCTTCTGCTTGGGATCGTCCACCTCGTACTCTACCAACTCCTCGGTGGGATCCTGCTCGCCCTCGACCACATTGCGATATTTTTCGATGCGCTCGCGATCCCACTCCTTGTTGTACTCGATCGTCTTGTCCTTCTTCTTGAACTCCTGAAAGCACTGCATGACCACGGGGTGCTTCTGGTGCCAGCTGCCCTCAATATCTTCCAGGGAGAGGTCGCCCAGCTCGGGGTCATCGTAGCTGGCATAGAACTTCTCGAAACGATCGTCCAGAAGCGAGAGCTGCTCATTGCGGCGAATCACGCTGGAGGACATCGAGTATTCGGTGAAGCGTGATTTGACCTCCTCGTCGTCGAAGCGACGCTCGCGCATAAGCGGCGCCAGGCGATCCATCAGCTCGTCCTCGTTTTCGTCCTCTTCCCCATTAAGATCATCCGAATCGAAGTCGAAGTCCATGTCCTCGTCATCTTCTTCGCCGTCCCACTCCTCGTCGTCTGAGTCGCCCTCAGCCATGGCCTGCATCACGAAGTCGTCATCCAGCTCCTCCTCGTTCTCGCAGTCGCTGTCCAAGGCGGCCACCACATCCGGGTCCCAGTCCAGACGCAACGTCTGTGGCGCCGCCTTGTTCAGCATGCCCTCGGACTCTTCGAACTCGCTGGCGAAAACCGAGCTGGGCAGAACCAGCTTGGGCGCTGGTCCCGGCTTATCATCCTCCGCACGCTGCTTTCTCGCCTGATTGGGGTTCTCCATGTACTCCCACACCACGTCGTTCTCGCGCTTCTTCAGGTGCTGCATGTAATCGTAGTCGTCGTCGAAGTGGATGCCGAACTTTTTCAGCTCCTCCTGCCGCTTGGCGGGATCAGCGGGCGCCGTCTCCTCCTTGGGCTTCTGCTGCCTGGCAGCCGCCTCCAGCAGCACTCGCTGCGGCGCATTTTCGTCCGTCACCAGGGGATCGTGCTGACTGCGGTGCACCAAGTGGAAGGTGACCGCCTTCTTGCGGTCAATGTATGGCTTCTTGCCCTTACCCTGCAATATAGTGTGGTGATTGAGTGAATGCTGAGGATTTCAATGGTTACTTACCATTATTCGCTTGCTTTTGTGGATTTTTGTAAATAAATAGGTGAACACATGTGCCCCACAGCAGTGTTGCCAGATGAAAACTTGTCTTTTTCCCTAAAAAATATCAAGAACATTGAAATGGCGCGGTATTTCCTCTTTTGCATCTCTTGGGCACACTTTATAATTAGAGCGACCAACATTGCCAGATCGTCCGAATGGGACAAGTGTTGGCAAACGTTTATTTTTATTCGAAAGGAAGGCGCCAAAAATAACTTTTTGGTAGGAGCAAAAATTAAGTTTTTCTTTTAGTTAGTTTTTGGATTTTCATTGAATAATTCTTCAAATTAACCTAAATATAGTTAAAGCATAAAAGAATACACGCAGTCGCCACAAATACAGAAGTCAATCGTTTGTATATACTTGGATATTTATTAGTTCGATTTTATTTTTTATTTTTATGTACATTTACAAACCTTTTTTTAATGCGTCAAGTTTTCACATTGATGAATATGTGTCTGTGGTTCACTTCCTCGGGTAATCTCGGCAGAACCATCAAGGATAAGCATACCAAGGTAGCCGAATTAATATATAATAATTATACGACGCTAGAAATTAATAATAGCTAACCTAAATAGTAAAATCATTCTCTTCTACCGAATAAAAGCTTGCTTGAAATATCAACTTAACGTAAATCAGATGTTCCGAATATCAGGATCTCCTCGCAATCTTCGTTATCCTATGCTCACAGTCCTTACGGTTTGAAAAGATTAGAGTTTACAAAGATATCTCGAATTCCAAATTTTGCAAAAATAGTACGCAGAGGGACTGAAATATAGGGCTCTAAACTATTCACTTTTTGAAGATCGGTTTTCATAATGCCTATAGAGTGTGTTGCCGGAGGCCGGACCCGAGCATGGTCGCTATTTTCTTTGGATGACCAGATCGCCAGTCCGGCGCCCTCAACTTTGATTACCTTCGCGCGATCCCTTACAGGCTTACAGCTTAGTGGGGCTATTAGTGTGATAATTATGATTATTTGCAATATTAACATAGAAATTTTGGTGCCTCCCGATCACGATACGCGTGGTCCGCTGTGGTGAGGGGGTGGGCATCATCACTAGACAAAAGCACTTGGATTGCAGCTAGGCTAGGTACAGTCTCGAGGTGTCTGGCACCTTCATCTACTTCAGCGCCTCCTTGGCCCGCTGCTCCCACTCGGCCCGCCTCTGGTGGATGCCCTTGAACTCTCCTACGGTGGCGGATCTCTCGATGGGTTTACTGGGCGCTGCAGCAGTTCCCGGCGTGGCGGCGGCTGCTGATCCTACTGGGACTGCCACTGGAGATGTCGGAGTTGTTGCTGTCGCAATAGACTGCTTCAGCTGGAGGGAGAACCTCTCGGACACTGGTTTGGCAACAGCGTTTCCGTTCACATTATTGTTGATTTGGTTGCTATTGTTGAGGCTATTGCGTGTGTTGCTGGCCTTGATGGGGGGCAGGTAGGTGACCACTTTTGGTGGCGCCTTCTGCTGATTGTTGTTGTTGTTGAGATTGCGGAAGTCGGCCACCGAGTTGCGATTGCTGCTGGGATGATGATGGGTCGTTTTTCCGGTCTCCCCTGTGCTCCCTTGCGCTTCGTACTTGGGCGCCAGCTTGTCCAGCTTCTCCTCGCTGTTGGACTGGTTCTCCTTGTCGCTGTCCACGCTCTGATTGCCAGCTCCACTTCCGCTAGGCGGCAACTTCTTGGCGGCGCCGGTCGCGGCGGACGTAACCTGGATGGGCGTTGGTGTCTGTGCCAGCGTCACCACCTCGTCGTCCTTCACCTTTAGGGAGCGGCGGGCAAAGACCTTCATCAGCTCGGGCGTGGGGTCGTCCTTGGAGGGCGTGGCGGTGTTGCCATTACAGCTGGCGAAGGATTTCTTGCGCAGCACCACGGGATTGGAGGTGGAAGTGGGCGAGATGTTGCCATTGACTTCGCTGATCTCGGGGGAGGTGGGCGTAACAGGGGTAACGGGAATGGCAGGTGTGGCAGGTATCACTGAAGGCGTCGGCGGTGCACTGGTAGCTATGATCTCCGCCTTGCCGATCGACTTTCTGCGCTGCTCGACCAGCACCTTCGGTTTCTCCTCGCTAAGGAACAACCTCTTGCGATCTTCCAACGACAAGCGATTACTCTTTACCGCATCTTTGGGGCTGGCCTGCTCCTTGGCATCCTTGGTATCCTTGTTCTCCCTGGAAGGGCCCTTGACCACTCCATTGCTCTTGGGTGTACTGGGTGTGGTGGCCGGAGTGTTCGGGATGGACAATCCCTCACTGCTGCTGCCGTAGCTTGACCTTACACTATTGGCACTCACGGATCGCAGCTGCCGGCTCAAGCAGGGTTCCAAACCCTGCCTGACCACCGGAGTCGAGACTTTCAGCTGCGTCTGCTCCACAATCTCAATTCCCGAGAGACTTTCCCCGCTGCTTCGCCTGAAACTGAGGTCGTCGCTGCTCTGACTCCTCTCTGTGGGCGTCGACTTCAGGTTCTTGGCCAGTACCAAGTGATTCGCCTTGTTGTGCAAGCGGGCCTGATCCACGCGATTCAGCTGAATCTTCATGAACTCCGGCTCTCCTGTGACCTCCATGTTGCTGGAGTTGCGACGACTGCTGGAGCTGGAGCTCTGGCCCTTGGCCGGCGTGGTCGGTGGGCTGTTTGAGAGCTTGGCGGTCTTGGTCAGCGGGCTGGCTGGACTCGGGCTGGCTGCGAGGGGAACAGCTACCTTGGTTCCCAGGTCCAGCAGCTTGGGACGCTGCTTGGGCGACGGTGAAGGCTCCTGGGACGGCTTCTCTGGCAGCTTCTCCGGCTGCGTCACGTTTCCCGACTTCCTGAGTACGCTGACCAACGGTGACTTCACTATCAAGTCAATGTTCTGCTCGATCTGCGAGATATTCGTAGGTCCCGGACTGCCCACCAATAGCTTGGTGGTGGAGACAGCTCTTTGGGGAGAGCTCTTGGCTCCCGGTGATGGCAGCTGACCCGTAGACTCAGCACGCGCCTGCAGCAGCTTGTTGTCATTGATCTCGAAGCCCAGGGATACGCACTTGGCGCTCGGCGAGATCGGGGAGCAGATGGGGGACTGTGGCGTCTGCTTGTAGTAGGCCGGCACCCGGAAGCTCAGCGAGAGGTCCGGCAAACTGGGCATGTTGTTGTGCACGGAAGGCGACTCCACGCCCTCCTCCTGGTAGTTGCGGAAGCTGCGCGCCTTCTCCACCGTCTTGCGCTGCTTTTCCTCGTAGTACAAGGGTGAGGGTTCGTCCGTGCTGGTCTCCAACGAGTTGGAGGAGCTGGAGTGCTGGCCCACCGAGTCGCTGGAACGTGACAGCTTCTGCTGGAAGGCACTCAGGCCCACTATCCGGGGCTTTCGCTCGAAGTGGGTTGAGGTTTCCACCTTGGTCTGCTGCTCCCGCACCAAAGTCGTGGACTGGAAGGTGTCGTTGCCGCGCGAGCTCTTGGAGAGCAAATTGGTCACATCGTTACTGAGTGGAGACTTCTCCGGCTGGCTGGGAGCTGCACCCAGCTCCTTCGGCATATAACGCTGCCGGGCTGCAGGACCGGATTTGGGCTTAAGGGGCGTCGGTGGATGCGGGTGGACGCCGTAGTTGCTCACTATGGCGTTCAGGCCGTGCTTGCCTTCGTTGTGGATCTCCCTCTTGATGATCTGGCGCGTCTCCAGGATGTTCTGCTCGTGAGAGGTGGCACTGCGCGCCTTATCCGGCACAACGACAGGCTCCCGGGCGGTGGCCTCCAGACAGGAGGTCGAGATCTGCAGCTTCTTGGCCACGCTCTGGCTGGAGTCCGTGTCCTCCATTCCGTCATTGGCCCTGGCAATGGATCTCTTCGAGTTCCTGTGAATCAATCGACGCAGGAAGCCGCTTTCGTTCTCCCGCTCGCGCTCGTTGGCCAGGAAATCATCGCAGTCCGTGGAGGACTCGCCACGATGCTCCAACAGGGCATTGGCCTTCGTGGTCGTGGCTCTCAGTCCGTAGGAGGATGAGTTCGTGGTCATAGTGCTGCTGGTAGAGCTTTGCTCGATCGTCTTGGTCCGCTTGGTGGTCACCAAGCCGGCGGGTATCGCCTGTGTCTGAGGCAGCATGGCAGTCAGGGTCTTCGGTGGCAGCGAGCGCGACTTGTTCTTGAGCTCGGCATCTGTGGATGAAGAGCAGGGATTAGATAAGGATTTTTCTTTCGAAAACTTAAGGAGTTCCTACCATGCACAGCTCGCAGTCCTGGACTCATCTTCAGCCCTTCCTCGTTGGCCTCTGGGATGGAAGTCTGTGGAAAGAGGATTAAGTAAGTTGTTCCTATTTGGAAGGACTCTCACACTCACCTCCAAGGTCATGCGGTGCTGCCTCGTCGGTCCCTTCTTTTTGGCCGGCCTGATGGCCATTTTGTGCCTGGCCGCTGCATGTGACAGCCGGTGCTGCTCTCGGCCAACGGCATCCACATCGTCCTCTTGATGGGAACGGAGTATGTCCGAGCCCATCGAGATCGACGAGCTGGTGGAGACCCGCGAGGGGTGCCGGTGGCTCTCCTCCGGCTCCACCTCGGCACTGTTAACACTCAGCAGACTGAGCGATGACACCTCGCTCTGGCTATGTGCTCCCTGTGCCCGGGACTGATGGTGACTGTGGTGACCACCGCCGGAGGCAAGCCGGCCGCTGCTGTTGCCGCCGACCGCCCTCCTCTGAGGGGAGGCCGGACTGCGAGGCAGGCCCAGATCCTCGTCGGAGGCATCTGGTCGGTTGCGTCGCTTACGCAGCACATCCGTGAGTTCCGCCTGGAATGAGCAGGGAGTATATATAGAGGTTAGGTTTCGTAATATAAGGTAGGTTAATTCCTTTCAGGATTACCCAGCTTTTCCAGCGGAAAACGAAGCGGGCCCTGAGACAGCTGCGTCCCAGGCGACTCTCGCCCATGGATGAGCCGCCCAGCTTCATTTTAAAGGGATTCTGCTTAAAGTCAATCATTTCGCGGGCCTCACAACGCGGACGAGGCTACAAATGACTGTTAGGGTTTGCCAGGATTAGCTGGGCAACAGTGACTGAAAAAATAACTGCGATTCCTGATGCCCTACTCTCCAGAATCTATTGTCTCCCTCACACATTCTTACCGCAAACGAAAGCTGGAAGGGATTGGCCTGTGCCCTCAGAGAACCCGCACTTCCGGCTACCATGGTGCTGATTATGAACTATGAATATGTGACTATCTGCACGCGATCTCACTGATTTCACTTTCCACTCGAGGAACAGCAGCAGCGACAGCGTCTGGCGACAACCAAGTGCAATGTGCAACTGAATCTGTTGCAGGGCGGATTCCAAAGCAGATGTACGAGAGTGAAGTGAAAATGAAAATGGGAATGGTAAGGGAAATGGCAGGGGAAATGGCGTCTGGCTTCAATTTTTACCTAGCCAAACACAATTGGCTCCGAAGATCTGTTTATTGTCAGCCCTCAGCCATTGAGTTTCAAGGGTAAGACCCGAACCGAGCCCAAAATCGGCTGTGTTGTGCGTGTCCCAAAGTAAACAAGAGAAAACGGAGCAGAATCCCTCATGCTTCTCGGGAAGAAACGAGAGCAGCGTCTGCCAGCCACCCCCTTGTTCCCACGTCGTCCATCTATCAGTGACTGTGGCGCGTGACGTCGCCATCTGGTTGCTCACCACTGTTCCTAGTGGAGCCGGGGCTGGGGCTATTTTTGGGAGCTCGTTGCTCGAGGATTAAGTGCCGGGCGGGTTCAGGTTAAAGACCTTCTCGTCCATCAATTCTAGATAAACAGAAACTGCAATTGGGGAATCGGGGGCGAGTTCAATGTTCTCTTAGTCGAGGCTCTTAGGAAGATTGTTGAGTATATATAGTGGCAGTTAATAGAACCTATGGCAGATAGATATTTGGACAGCCTTACATAATCTTGGACATCTGCTTTTTCGGGAAATTTAGCGGCACTGCACATATGTACCTGGCAAGGAAGCTACCTGAAAAGTCCTGCGACCTTTAACCCATTCCCCGCTTGGACTACTGGACTACCTGCCCCGGTTAAAGCAACGACTCTGCTCAGTTCCACCTCGAATCTGCGTCGGGAAATCGCAGAGCCGACCGTCACGTTCACTGATTTATTGGCCCAGTTGCGAGTGGGCCAACTGTCGGTGGTCAGTACCAGTGGGTAAATGTAAGTGGCTCCCAACATGGCCAACATTGATTACCACAGCCAGAGAGTGGGAGAGAACGGGCACAACAGTTGGCCAAGTGGGAGGCACTGACTGCAATATCGCTTTGAATTAAATGCAATTGCATCACTCAGACGTCCGAGTTGCATTTCGAACAAATGGACGCCATCTGTGCGCTCCGCTGGTAAGTGGGATAAACGGCCTCAAAGTGTGTGCATTTATCCAGCTGGAAGCCCCGATCGGTTGATCAGTGGTTAACGCGATCTGACCCTGACTAATCATTATTGGAATATTTTATGGAGCAATGCAAGCTGCGCTTAAATGGATTACAAATCGAGGAATCAGAGCTACCTACTTTTAGAGTTTGTAAAAGATCTTAATCTATTAAAGAATTTAATTTTGTCAAATGAATATTAAAATTTGTAATGAGAATATCATTAAATATGCTTTAATTTGTGTAAGAAATATTTTATTTCAGTGTATACCCCCCACGTTTTGCATTAATTTGTACACAAATCAAATCCACACTCTATCAATTCGTAAATAAAATAAATAACCAAGAACTTTGCACCCAGATATGCTTTCTATCTTTTTACGATAACGAGGTGATGGATTTTCCGAACGGAGGCTTTGTACACAAATAATTTAAACAGATTTCAAGAAGATATATTATGTTCAGTCAAGATAATTAGAAGAAGCTTAGTTCTATTTGAAAAAAAACTCTAAAGAGCTTTCCCTGAGACAGTCACAGGCCATTAAGCCATGAAATACCAAAGGAACCCTTCTCCACACACTCTCACCCATCTAGGTCGCCGCTTCGCTGGCTGCTTCTCGGGAGTTAAATCAAGTTAAAGCAAATGGAATCAATTTCTCCCTGTCTGTCACCCAAGAGAGTGACGGAGATGGAGAGTGGCAGGGAAGTGGGCCAGTGGCCAACCGATATGGACATGGCCAGGCTCCAGAATGCGCCCATCGGGCGAATCGTGCGAAGAAATGCAATTAAAATCCTAATGCGGATGCATGGCACTTTGAGTGCGATCCCAATGGATGCGGAAATCTGAGAGATACGCAAATGCGGACCGAAATGATTGCATAATGAGTGGAGCCAGGAGTGGAGGCCGCCGCCAGACGGGAAGTGTCACAGATCTCATGTTCGGAGCAAACGAATTTAGGCCGAAAATGAACATTTTCGAGTGCTGGGACCTAGGAAGTGGTCACAGTCGCCACTGGGGGACATTCCCCGCCAGAGTAGTTCAATTAGAGAAAAGCGTGTGAATGTTGGACATCGATGACGGGCAAGCTCGCGTCCATGCCTAGATGCGTGTTACCGTGTTACCATATCTCAGCTACTGCTGTCATTCCAAGTCGTCCGGGACGGGTCCATGTGTCCCCCCCCCACGGAAATTGCTCTTGACTGCATTGTCATTTAGTTTCCATTATGGCCATTTGTCGTGTAGATGTTTTTCTTTTTCTATTTATATGCAATTAATTCATCAAACTGGTTAGCCCCGAGATCCTCACATCTGCTGGTAAATATTTATAGACCCAAGAGCTCGTTTCCCCGACCTGCTCTGGCAGCTTTTCAAAGGAAAATCACCGAGACTGGACTAGGACTTGGCGGATTAGCAGTGAACTCAGGACCTGCAAGATGTCTATTCTGTGGAATGTTAGAGTAAGAGTGAGGGGTTTTGGCATTTGAAAAGCTTAAATCCCTTAAAGGAAAGGCCTGAGCTGAGATCAACGTCCTCGAGGAATAAGCTATTTTATTTGTTATTAAAAGATTGAATTATTCAACTATAGAAAGAAAGTTTGAAAGTTTAAGTTTATCTTTACATGTAGCTTATTTATTTGGTGAAGTTTAAAAAGCACTTATCTATAACTTCAGGAAAAATAAACACTCATAATGAAATATCTTTTTATTTAAATCCCATCCAGCTCTACATACTTCCTCTTCCCCAAATGATCAAAAATATCAAAGCATAACTCGATAAGCCCCTTGGAATCGCAGCTCTTTATAATTCTCCAGCACAGTTACCCAGTTGGACCGTTAAATTGAAAGTTCGTTAACTTCTTCACTTGGCTAGAGTCCAGGAATCCCGAGGATTGTGGACATAGCGCGGATCAGAGTCGTATTCGGAGTCGGATTCGAAGTCGTGTTAGGAAACCGCCAGGCTAGCGAACGCCCGGGTTGTCTTCACTGGCTAAAGTCTCGATGCAAACTGATTTAGCGGAAAACTTGCAGGAGTTCAATAGCATAGAAACAGAAAGAAATGCGATTTATTTGCTAACCAGGTTGGCAAATAACCTGGGTGGGAGCACGCGGAGCAGGAGGAGGCGGTAGCTCCAGGGAGCTGCTGGCCTGCCAAGTGGAAAAAAGTGGAATAACAAGAAGCAACCAAGCGGCCGCCGCCGACCATCGTCGGCTCATCGGCAACTCGTTTGTCCAGAAACCGAAGAAGCAATAGAAGTAACTCAACCGTCGTCGGTCGGCCAGGCCAGGAGAAGAAGCCGCAAATTGCCACGCGCGGCAAGAGCTGGAAAATCGGTTGGAAAAGCGGGAGTTTGGACTATATGGGGAGGAGGGTGTGCCGGTGTGCGGGTCTTGCCACGACTTACTGCAGTTGTTGCACGGAAAAAAACTGCTTAAGACTGATCAAATATCAATATAAATTATTATTATTCAATTGACCAAGTGAGATAACACAGTATTGATAGTGATCTTTACCTTGAAGCTTTTGAAATGTACGTAGTTTTTCTCATTATGTATGTACGTTTAGGAAAGATACTTAATAATTAAACTTTAAGAAAAGTATAAATATTTTTCCCTTGTGTACGTCTAAAATTGGGTTCGGTTTCAGGTTGCAAAAACGCGTGCGTTGGCAACAGTTTTTTCTTTTTTTTTTTTTTGCTAAAACCTAAAAGAAAAGAGATGAAAAACACCAGAAAAGACTCAACCAACTTATGCAGTAATGGTGATAATGATGTGGATAATGAAGATTTATCTATTAGATAAGAGCCAAAGCCAGTCTACGCTTTATTTTGGACTTTCGTTTGGCGTTAATTTAAAGTGCGAGTTAATTGTGTAATATCGAAATTGATTTCTATGTATCAATTAAGAGTTGAGAATCGGGTTTGTGGTAGCTAGAGAAACATCTTAAAAAAAAGTCCCCCAATCAAGTTTCGATTGTCTCTGGGGTTCAGTCAACTCAATTAATGGATGTTCTCCATTCCAGATAAGGCCAGCTGGCTAATCAGATTGTTGACAAAGTTTTTGTTTTCCTAAAACTCTGGGAACAATTGAAATCTGAGTCAGTGCACTCCATGGGAGATTCGGTCATCAATGGCGCTGCAGAAATGCCAACAAAGGCGCCAATTGAATTTGATTTAAATCAATTTACGAGTAGATTGCCTGCAGCACAAAGCACGGTTCAGGGGAGCGGTCTTTGGTGGAAATCCATCGAGTGACCCAAGGGCCCTGAACTTGATTTCGAGAGAAAAAGTGAAAGTAAAAGTGGAATTCGAATTTTAAATTTATATATAGGTCAACGAGATATGGTCAAGGCAAGCAAAGGGTTGGAAACGAGCCAAAGCTACATATTTACTAACATTAAACTATAAACTAAACTCTTAGAAGTCTTGAACTTTTAGATTTATATTATCCTTAAAGGCTGTTATCAGTTCTAAACTCACCTTCAGTACAATCGATAGACTGCTGGCCGTTGCTGACTCGGAGAAGACGCTGTCATGGGACTGCGACAGCGTCTCCCGGGAGTAATCTCTGAAAGCGTTAGCCAGATAAATTAGTTATCCAGTACCAAAATCAAGGACTTTATGGACTTACCCATCCACATCTAGAAGACGACCCTCGCTGAGGCTTCGCTGGCTGTCAGAGATGTCGGCAGCTCCACCGGTTCCCGAGCCCGATCCTGAACCGGATACGGATCCACCCTCCAGCTCCTGCGAGTAGTCACCTACGCTGCGTAGATGGCGCTGCTGGATGCGCTGCTCTGCAAAGTAGCTGCTCCTGCTCATACCGAGGGCTTCGGCGGGAAAAACGGCCACGCCACGCTGGGCCTGGGACATGGCTTCCTGCTGGGCTTGGGTTGGCGACTGGAACTGGCTGGGATTCTGGTCCAGACTGTGCTGTGCAGGCGTCTGCTTGCCAGTCCGCTTCTTGCCCAGGAGCACGCTCAGCAACTCATCGCGGTGCGAGCCGTAGGACTTGGACTTTGGCAGCGACTGAGTCTGATAGCTCTGCTCCGGCAGCTGCTGGGAATTCAGTGGTGATCCTGGTGTTCCCGAAGCTCGTAGGTTCTTCTCGCTGCTGCTACTGGCCGGCGGCGGCAGGGTATTACAGGATCCGGGTCCGATACCTATACCGGGCGATGGACTGTCTGGGGAACTGTTGATGGTTCGGCGGCGGAAGATGCGGCGGAGATTGCGAAGTGGATGGAAGCGGCGACGTTTCTGCTGCTGCTGATTTTGGTCTGGAAAAAGCCAGGAAAGAAGATAAGACACGTCCTTTTATTTTACAACATTTTGGTGATATTTGAAGGTAATTTCAGCGATTTGGGTTATATTCTGGTTTGCTATTTTATGGAGTTTATAGGAAAACATATGGATGACCTATCTGTGGTTTTTACTAAATATCCCATTGGCTGACACTCGCTCGTGACGTAACAAGACATGATGATAATGTCAACCGGCTTTCAGTCTTGATGGACAGGCGGCATAAATCTAGAAGAGAGATCCCAGGGGATTATGTTTTCACACTTCCAAGCTGGTTACTCAATTATTAGCCCGTCTCCGGCTTTATTTTATCATGGTATCTGAAGTCTACTCCCTTCCCCACTAGATTGTAAAGTGTATAAATTGTTGTAAAATAATTTATCCATAATTAACAGGCACATAAATAAATCGCCTATATAGACATAATTATCGAAGACTTCTTTGGCGCTTCCGAGGAAGCAAAGTCATATTTTTAGACGCCACTTAACTTCCGCAGTTACTCAGCTGTTGAGCCAATCAATTGTTAATAGAATTTTTCCGTCATTCGGTTACACTTAATAGTACGGCGATAAGAAGCAAACAATAAATGGGCGAAACCGAAACGAATCGCAGCCCAAAACATGACCATAAATAGGCAAAAGCCCGAAGACCCCTCAATGAATGAAAGGCCCAAAGAGGAATGATAGCAAGTCGTCGTCTTGCTGCCAGGGAGTTCCAGTAAACCCGATTGGACACCACGTGCGAACAAGCGTTGGGAACCATTCGACAAGGTCATAACTTATCTCTCCAAGCCAAGTATTCTATGCATATATGGATTTACACAATTTCTGGGCCGAAGAAAATCCGAAATATAGAGTGCAATTGGTTGAAATCATTATCGAATTGCGGCTTGGTCTTTTGTGGCTGTGGCCTTGACGGTCGTAGAACTCAATAATATTTATTCCCCCGATGGCCGATAGCACAGAGAAACGATGGCTGGTAATACCTTATCGATCACCGAGGAATGTGGAGTACATTTGTAGGTACAAGAAAAGTACTACATCATGTATTAGTGCTAAGTGATGGGCAAAGGATAGGAAACTCCATATAAGTTTGCTTGTAAATACTGTTGACCCTATTAAAGCCAAGATTGTATAGACAACCCCTTTGGAAAGTGTGGCTTGACTCTTACATCTCTCTGGAGTGACTCATTGTGTGTGTCATTACCACAAATGAAAGTTCCCTTTAACACAGAGACCCGTCTTCTCCGTGGAAAGTGTACATTCCATATACTAATTAGAGAAAAGAACCACAGCCAAACGGAAGTACAAGCATTTTCTAAAATAAAATCAAAGAACGCTGTCAAGAAAGCTTCGACCTCTAATCAACAAGAAAAATAAAACAAAGCGCTGCTCAAATGCCGGTCACGTTTTGGGGCCGCGACACGCGAATACCGAAAGATACTACAGATATATAAATGAATACCATATAGCTGACTATATAGTATACAGCACATGTGTAGTCATGGGTACGAGCATTCCCCATTTATGCTTGTTGTGATGGCTTGATTTTAATGATTAATTTCACCTGAGTTGGGGCTGGTCACCGGAGCTTACTCATGGGAAAAGAAGTACGTATAGTATATAAATATTACCCCCGCTGGCACGTCATTCTATTTATTGCCTTTTGGGGTGTCGTCTGGCTGTCTGCTGCTCTCTCCAAATTGCTCGGGGACCTTGCTAATGGAATTTTAACCGCCGAGGGGGAAGCAACACCCTCGCCAGTGACAATTGTTTATTTATAGAATGCCTAATTGGGTCAGCAGAGCAGGGCTGCAGTTCTTTAAGCCAAAACGAATTCTGGCTCCCTAAAAGAAAAATCTTAATGAAGATTTCTTGTCTGTAATTGAAAAGTTTGAGTCTGAGTTGGAACAGCGATGCTGCCCATGATTCACTTAATGAGGCAATCCCCGCGATTACATCAGCGTTGTGCGCGTATACATTATTTCTAATTTATCTAAAGTCTATTGAGCAAGATTTGTTATTACTTCGAGTCCCGTATTGTCTTCTTTTGTGTGCTGTCATCAGTTTGGGTTTCGTTTTCCGCAAATGTGTGAGTGAGTGTGGGCGAAATGTTCGTCATTGTCGGTTTTGGCTTGGCTTTGGTAATTCATCAAAACTTATTTGAATCTTTTCAATTTGGCAACATGATGCCTCCTCGGATTAACTGCTCTTACGAGTGCTTACTAGGGAGGGGAGTAAGATAGGTTTGAAATTAAACAACGGCAAAGGTGAACTATCGAAGGTATTGTTATTATTTTCAAGCAAATACTCGGGGCTTGATGCAAATTCGCACTTAATTCTGAATTTACTTATGTTGGAAATGAGTTTGATAGATAAATTCAATCGAAAATAACCAATGTTCTTCGGCATTAGCTTTAATTATTTCAATTATTATTATTTTAAAGGTAAAGACAACCGTCAATAAAGATATTAAATCGAGACTTTGTCATACATTAAAGTAAATATTACACAATTTTAAAAGCTTACCCCCCATAACTTCATCAATTATAGAAATATATCGCTACGTATTCCCCACCTCATACAAGTACCCGGTGCGTGGGCTTTCGGAGGTGTTTAAGTGACACCAATTCGCATTCGATTCTGAATTTGCAATTCCAAAAAGAGGTTTGGCAAGTGGGTTCGTTTATTAATTAATCATTGGCGCAAACGTGGCCCCACACTCTCTTAACATGCGAATTGTGAAAACCAAATGGCAAACTACACAACTTTTCAGCCAAGTTGCAGTAATTGGAGACCTTTTGCGAGCGGATGTGAGCTCGGTGGGACTGCTGGCCTACTGGATTGGGGAAGGTCAAGTGGACCACGCCCACATCCCAAGCACCAGCTCCCCAGTCTGGCCGTGTGGGCAGCTTATCCGCTTAACAAGTGCTGAGTTCACTTGCGCGGAATAAAAATAGAAAAAACGCAACTTGTTGGAGAACCAAGAACCCGAAGGCCCGAAGAGCTAAACAAAGGCACCAAGAATTGCACAATTCTTTGGACAAATAACTCTTACAACCGAACAGGTCTCGGGGCCTTCAAAATGTTGGCTATACTGGTTCGTTTCGAGTAAGTTGCAGTGTGCTGTAAGCCTCGAGAATCGAATGCGATGCCAATGGATTAGCCAAGGTTCGTTGAGTTCGTTGGTCAAAGAGTTCAACATGGCGTATTACATCAACACTGGCAAAATAATCTGTAAGACTGAAACGTAATTCTATTTCAAACAGAGAGTGATGTCAAATACAAATATCGCTTGAGTTGAATCAATATTATATGGGCATTGGCGACTATATAGATTAGACAAAGTACCGGAATAGCTATAAATAAATAGAGGTGTTCCAGAGAGCTATCAGGTAAGTATGGACGATTGCAAAGAAACAAGAAATTGGCGCAGAAAGTAATCCCCTTTGATTGCTATAACAACCTGGAATACTCAGTATATATGTTACATTTTATTTTATAATGCCTTTCAGTACCTAGTAAATAGACCAAGTTTTCCTTCCCACAGATTATTATTCTCCGAGAGATATCAAAAATAATATTGAAGTGATCAAAATACTATTTTTTCCTCTAACTCTAGCTTGTTAATTAAAAAGGCAAACTTGTTTTCTACAGTGACTGCGTTAAATGGATAAGGCTAGCTGCTTTTCACACCCGCCTTTCGCTATACCCGCCGGTTTTTAGCCACTTTATATAAGGGATCAGGCCCTATCAGTCGCGATCTGTTTGGCCAAAAAGCAATGGCAGACGTCCCAATCACCAGAAGACGTTAACTGCAATCAGTTTGGCAGAGCTTATCAGCCTTTTTAGCCTGGTCGAAAGGCACTACCTTTTGTGTTCGCACTCCAAATCACAACAACAGCAAGAGCAACAGCAAGCGTCGCACCAAAATTGATTACACAATTCATGGCACTTCAATTAGAGGCGTCTGGCCAATTGCCTCAATTGGGTCTCTCTCCGAAGCCTCAGCCTCATAACGAGGTTTCTTTCAGGCTGATAGGTTCGTTCCCCCAAAATCTTGTCAACTTACATAATAATCCCTGCCTTTATGGGGCAAGTGTGGATTGGGTTACATTCATTGGGCATTTTAATTGGTCTGAACTATGTACATATTCTGGGCCAGCTTTGTTTTCGGGCAATAAAGAGACAAATAATTTCAACGATGCATGATATCATTGAAAATGCCCCACCAATTCCTTCTGCTCTTCGTTCTAGTTCAAAAAATACAATACTTTTTATTACCTGTTTAAATACGGGCTGAAAATAGCGGCATATGTTTTTATTCAACTGCCAAATTCCCCGAATTGTTTACTCTGCTGATTGTTGTGTGTAAACAAGCTTGTTTCAGTTGGAAGATACACATATATTGATTGAATTTCAATTCAACTTCACTGCACACATTACACAACAAACTCCAAATGGATTTTTCCTTTTTCCGATATTATTGATTAAACTTTGTTGACTCTTTTGTGTGATTCGGATTCGGGTTGATCGGGACACGCGGCTTGCAACTGCGAGTGCGATTTCGATTGCGTTTTGCGATTGCAATCGTCGCAAAATTCAATTAGTGCAATAACCGGCGTACGCGCTCGGCAGCGAAATTGTGTCTCACCTGCACAGGTGGAGCGGAGCAAACAGAATGAATTGAATCAATGGGACAGCGGCAAACGAAATCGAAAGAAAAAAGCAGAAAAAACAGTCGTATTCCCGCTCGCGGCAAACTGAAACTGAAATCTTTGAAGCGAAAAAGCCGAAGCGACCCCACAAAAAATATCCACAGAGACAGAAAACCGAAACCGAACTGAACCCGGCCAAAGTGTATTGACGGCTGCGAGTGGTAGTACGGGTATCGGCTTATTAGCCACCTTGCGTTGCCAAATCGAACTGATTAGCGTTTCTTGGCCCGCTGGCAGGTGACGGTGTGTGTGCTGGCTTAACAGAGCTGTTAACCGATTAACAGCAGGCACAGTGGGCCATATTGGATTCATGTATCACTTAAACCTAATAACAAGAAAACCAAATAAGTGTATTTAACTGTGTGTATTTCAAATAAAGGGATATTCTTGCATTGTAATCACATCAATATAAGTTTTCAATTCAATTTTCTTTGTTTGTAACAAATTGTTCGATGCCAGATAATTGTATGAAAAAGTATCTTCCATGTTAGTCCAGAGCAGCTAAAGATCATTATTTCCCATTAGCGGAGTCTTCTGGCTTCGCGTTCAGACTCCAGCAGGGTGAGAATATCGCCCTCGCGCACAGGCCCCTTCACGTTGCGGATGATTTGGCGATTTTGCTCGCCCAGGAACTCCACTTTGACCTGGGTACACTGGCCCTGGGAGCCAGTGCGGCCAAGGACCTTTATGACACGTGCCCACACAACTGGTTGGTCCATGGTTATTCAAAATTTGTTGAAATTTCGCTTAGAAAATTCATGTGCACGTAGAGCTTCGATTGACAAAGGAAAGGGGCAAAATTTGTAGGGATGGGCACAAAATATGGATTTATCGATACTGAAATTTGACGCATAGGCTTTTTGATCGATATTTTAACATTGCAATATATGTGCTAGAAATTAATTGGGGTATTTCGTTGAAAACATAATCCGTTAATTAATATTAGAAACTTTAATAATAATCGAATTAAAATTGTTTTATTTTAGAAAAGTACATATATAATGAATAATATTAAATAATAATTTTGGGAACCTATAATTTTAAAATCTACATCAATACATCAAAATTTTATTTATTTTATTTCATTCTCCAACTATAATAGCCATCCGTGTTCACCCCACTGTCCACCGATCCGACACGAACTGTAAATGCAGCTTTATTCATGTCGAAAGCGAGGTGTACAGTGTACACTGTACATGGTCCGTTATTGTTGATGGCATTTCTTTGTGGGTGTTGTCATAACAACAATAGTTCAAGCGACCCCAAATGGATAAAGCTTCCTATTCGCATTACCATACCCATTTCCATTTCCATTTCCATTCCGAAGCCGAATTCCCATTTTCAGTAGAAGGAACCCTTGTGGTCGATTTTCGCTGTGCATTCGCATGAACCATAGAAAGTCGGGGGCGTTAATTAGCACGTGTAGCTGTATTACCCACAATTATATAAACATTATCCAGTTATTCAGTTGTCGGTGGCCATATGAGGGCGAGCCCCGCAACAGACAAAGCCCGGTTCACATGTGAATTGTGAGGTAGTAGACCCACGTAGATGTAAATACATACAACATAGATGTATGTAGATGGCCCAATCTGAATATGTATTATGCCCAGTTTTATCTTTCGCTCATTGTATCTGCATCTGCTCTGGCAGCAGGGGGAGGTGGCGCCAACAAACCGAAAGACCCAACTAATTATTCACCCAACAGAAAACCAAAAAAAAGAAACCAAAACTAACGAACACACGAACAATTTCCACCAAACCAAAGTCGGATAGGGCCCTATTTGTACAGGGTATCCACAATAGTGCGGCGTTGTTGCGGATTTTTGCTCACTTTCCTCAGTATCCACATCTTCCATCGGGTTCACAGCTCTGCAAACAAAGCTGAAGCTCTTAGTTTCTACAGGGAAGAGCGCACTATCTCGTTCCATATGATCGATGATGGCCTTAGTAAGGCGAGTGATGTAATCGAATCTGCACTTACTCAAGGCTGTGTGGGTTCATTGTACTTGTACTGCATTATTTATTTTTTCTAATAACTTTTCAGCTTAATATAAATTTTGAGATTGGTTCATCATGGTAATCTAATACCCATTTTGTATATAAATATAAGTTTAATATGTTATATCTTAAGCAAAAGTCCTCAGCTTTACTCTTTATATATAATAATAATATAAGTATTTTTTTCCTCCCCAAAGAGTAACCTTCGTCAGTGCCCATAAAGCATCCATAAGCCCAAGGTTAACCCATGCCAAAGGGGCGAGAATTGCTGCGTCAACCTTGGGGCTGGCAATCAAATCCCCGAATCGCCCAATTCCCCAGCCTTTGGCAATCAGCGAACCTTTCACCCCGCCCATGTAAATGTCCTGCGGGATTGTTGCGTTTGATGAACACATGAGCCGGAAAGCTTCTGCCATATTGAAAGCTATTGCCTGGGAGAACTTGGGGCCCAAGGCCCCAGGCAATTTCATAATTCAGCATTCCGCACTTGAATGATTTAATATTGTTGCCCAACCAGGAGAACCCCTGGCAGGGATATGGGACATGGAATGTGTGTTTGTTTGTTTGTTTTTTTGGTATTATGATAGCAATTAGGCAACTCACCTGCGGTCGGAGTGGACTGGTGGGCATTGTTTCCTGGACTGGAGATGGGCGTGGAGGTGACGGCACCGCCATGCGACCTTCCGCCCTCCGAGGGCAACGACAATGGCCCCTGGCATCCACTGGCATCCAGCTCGGGTTCCAGCGGCGGCGAGTTTTCCCTCACACACGACATCAGGCCGGAAGACATGCTGGAAAGAAACACAAAGGGAAAACTATTTGTAATTGCCCTTTGCAAATATGTGGAATTGGTGCAGCGACGCACACTTCTCCTCCTCGCCGGCAGAGTGGACTCTTCCGCGATGGCTTCCTCCCGGGCAACCTGACCTGACCCACGCCACCAGTAAACTCGGTGACACTTCGCTAATGGACCGCCATTACGGCGGTGTTCTGCGGGAAATTAAATGTCATATTGTCAGTGCATGGGCGAGAAAAGCCAAGCCAAAGCTGACAGGAAATTGCAGTGGATAGTCCTTAGGTGCAGGTGTTAAATTTAATTAGTGGTTAGGGAAATGTAATCTTTTCAAATTATGTTTTCTTTTACTAAATGCACTACTAAGTTAATTAAAGCAGAGGGACCATTATTATTTCAAAGAAAATAATTATATAAATTGCTTTTAAGTAGAGGTGGAGAACCATCGATATTCGACGATAGTTTTTCAATAGTCGTCAATAATATCGATCTAGATATTTACAAATTGGCTTTTCATATAACAAAAAAAAACCTAACATGCTTACAATACAATATATTTGAATTTGAGATATTCAATTTGAGATAATACCATCAAAATTTCTCAAAACCCCTGTTAATTTTTCTAAAATTCACCGTTCTAGAAAAATTATATTACAATTTTAAAATTTATTAAATATACAACCTAAAATATTTAAATTCGTTATCAAACCGTTAATTAGTTCAGCAATAAAATCCTACAACCAGCACCTGATGCCAGTCTGTTGTGATTTATTATGTTATCTCTATACCCAATACTCTCAATCTTCAAATACTATTAATCTTTCAAAATAATATTTAAATGGCAAGCAAACATGACTCTTTGACCCGTCCTCCCATCGTCAGATCATCGGCATCTCGTCAGCCCAGGGCAGTCAACCCACTTGATCAGCCCCAGAGGCCACCACCGATAAATAAATGTCATGGCCCCGCCAGAGCAGAATGCATCTTCTATATGTGCAGTGAGTTCCCCAGAATCGCTTCGAATCGCATCGAATGGCATCGCATCGAATCTGAACGCGTCAGGCCCAAAGGCATTTCAAGGAAAGCTATTTTCAACTAGGAATTCGCCTCTCAAAGTGAACTCTGTAACCTGCAGCAGTCGTTCGGGCTGCTCTGGCTTGGATTTAAATTTGGATTTGGCTTCGGGCTTTGCTTTGGCGCCAGACAATGAATGGGCCGTGAGTAATGGGCTCTCGACCGGATGATTCATGCCAAGTTCGGGGATGCCGAACACTAACAGACGTTGTGTCTTACATCAGATGTGTTTGATGTGTGGCTAAGGAAGAGATTTTCTAGCATAAATATGATTTACGAGATATGGAAATAAAGTTTATAAAATTAGAACAATAAAGAATGAGATATGATATTTTTTTGTATTTATTATTATTAATGGGAAGTGAAATTTGACCATTTGACCATTTTCAGAATACATTTCTATTCTTGAATATGATAGAAATTATTAACAAATAAAAAAAAAAAGGCCAAAACAGTAACACAAATGTGAGATGGGTTGATAACCCTCTTACGTTAATCTTTATTATAGTAGTTTGTGAATATTATATTTGTTTTAGAATTTGCAAGTTTTCCGGTATCTGCTTTTTACTTTCTTCAACTTTCGTTATTTGTTTTTAATGAAAAAACCTTATAAAAACAGCACTAGGATAATGCAAAAAATCGAACGAAAACGCAACTATGCTCTTCGTAATCAGTAAAAAAGAACATCTTAAGTATAAGTATACATATATGTATATAAGAATTCCTTAATACCTTTTTAAATTTCTTGAATTGATTCTTGATTATATAGACCTGGCAAGAGTGATAAGTTAACATTTATAAAAAAAAACTCTAAAAATGTTACATCCTTTTTTATACCCTTGCAGGGTATTATAATTTCAGTCAGAAGTTTGCAACGCAGTGAAGGAGACGTTTCCGACCCTATAAAGTATATATATTCTTGATCAGCATCAACAGCCGAGTCGTTCTAGCCATGTCCGTCTGTCCGTCTGTCCGTCTGTCCATCTGTCCGTCTGTCCGTCTGTCCGTCTGTCCGTCTGTCTGTTTCTACGCAAACTAGTCCCTCAGTTTTAAAGCTATCTGAATGAAACTTTGCATATAGTCTTCTATATGCTCTCACTGCTATATATGTCGGAACGGGCCGGATCGGACGACTATATCATATAGCTGCCATACAAATGTTCGAAATATTTTTCGAAAAAATATTATAACTTTGCTGTTTTTCAATATTTTTGCACAATTTTTTAGATGTAGCCATTATATATTATTTTTGAATTTTGGTAAAAATTTTATGAAAATCGGACGACTATATGATATAGCTGCCATAGGAACGATCGGGAAATTAATAGGAAAAAAATTATAGCTTCGTTGTTTTTCAACGTATGTTTATCTACTCTAAAATATAAGCTTTTTTTATTATTCTAGAATTTTGGTATACATTTTATAAAAATCGGACAACTATATCATATAGCTGCCATATAAGCGATCGGTAAATGTATAACATATGTAAAGCTGGGAATGCAAAACTGTAACTGTCAAACTGTAAACATAATAAGTATAGGTAAAATGTAATGAAACTCTGTTTTGTGAGTGTTTTCAGCATTTAAATTTATATTATAAACATCAAAACCAATCTGCAAGGGTATACAAACTTCGGCGTGCCGAAGTTAGCTTCCTTTCTTGTTTCTATTTTGAATACGTACAAATGTTAAATTCCACAGAATAGAAATGCCCATATATAAATATTTGAAGACATTTTAAAATATAAAATTTGGTAAGAGTATTAGACATTGTTTTAAATTATATCTGTCAAATGTATAAATACACTCTTTGAATTTATTTTTAACTGCACAAAGCATTTTTAGGTTTTACTAAATTGTTAAAATTTTAAATTTAAAGTTTTGCCCTAAAGAATACATTTTTTTTAAATTATAATAAATTTTGACATTAAATTCTATGTTGTTATAATATTAAGTGAGTTTATAAGAAGTAGACATTAGGTTTTTTCAACATCTCTTGTTTGCTTTTAATATGCCTCATATTTTCACAGCATATTTTTAGGCATTTTATCAAAGTATTTATATACATACACCTGCATATAATTAGTGCATTTTGTGAACGAGGGATTAACGCTCCAAAGAGCCACGAGTGAGCAGGTGGTTTAACCCAGTTAGTGGAGCTGTCCAAATAACGCGCCAAGCTGACATTTGACCCCTTTTGGGGTAAACAAGCCCAGTACGTGCTGTGTGCTGTGTACGGAGAATTTGATGTGCTAATTAGTGGGGAGAGCATCCCCAGCCCCCAGCTCCCTCTTGGACTTTTTCCCCCTCGAACAACCAGCGCAAATTGCAGTTTAAGCGTTTTTTGCGCATTGAAATGGAAACTGCAGTGGCGGGGATTCGTGTCGACACTCGTCGTGGGTGCAGTGCAGCAGCGCTGCTGATGGAATCATGAAGAGCTGCTGATGATGACGATGGAAACCGCGATGACGATGCCGTTGATTAAAGCAGACAAATGAGCAGCGGCGCAAATGTTCATTTCGTTTTGCCGTTTCGTTAATTAAACCGAATGAGTGCCTCTGGGGGGGCACAACTGACTAGGAACCGTTTTGGGATCGGGACCGGGAGGAGAGCAGCTGCCCACTAAGTGCGATTTGGCATTGAACTTGGGGGAATGCCAAGGCAAAATTCATTGAAGCTGCCAATTGAGCTGGACAAGGGACGGGATTGCGTTGAATTATTAGTCGGCAAACTACTATAAATTATGAGTCAACTTTTGGGGCAGATCTGATTAATAACAAGTTCAGTTTTGGCTGGCAAAACAATGAATGTTTTTAAATGAAAGTGCTAGGAATTTATCGTTATCCAGTCATTGAAATTTATACATAAATAGTTTAAACTAATATTTTTTAACACAAACAAACATAAATTCAACGCACATTTAATACAATTTTAAATATGAAATAAAATATAACTCAAAGTAACCTTTTAAACAATTTTCAAAACAATTTAAAGTGCAATAAGAGGCCAAAGAACTAAATATACTTTAATTTAGTTAAATTAGTTCTAAACTTATTATTTACTAATCTAGAATGCATTATTTTTAACCGTGAAAACTTGTAAAATTTAATAGTGGTCTTAAATATATAATTTATAATAATAATTGTATTACTTTGAAGGTAGGATACAATAATAATGTTACCTTTTGCTAAATATCATATTTGTGTGGGAATGGGTCTGGTAACGCCGTTCCACCTAACCCACCTCACCACAGAAGAAGGAGAGACGGAGGGTGAAAAGCGAAGAGTTCGGAACGAGAGACAACGACGAAAAGACGTGCGAGCTTACGACGGTCACAAAACGAAGTTAAAATCAACTAAAACCTATTTCAAGCTATTCTAAAATACATGTAAACGATCACTTTATACTTAACTAAACTATCTACTATAAAATATCATTAAATACTATAATAAAACTTAAAACTAGTGGGACTTCTCATTTAAAAAGGAAACCAATCCCACAAATATGGGGGCTCAACCTACGTGATAAAGTGAAATTAAAGAAACGATGAAAAACTGAGTGAAAACGACGAAAAAATTTATTGAAAAGTGTGTAAATTTCAAAGTGCAAAATCAAAAACGACGACGACGCTGCACACACACAACGACGCAGGAGGAATTGTGAAATTCAAAACGAAGACGACGCTACACACACAACGCTGATCTGCACGCATACATTTAAAACGACGCATAAGTGTATGTAAACGACGGGCAGAAAAGAACGACGAAAACGGTAGCGAAGCAACGACGTGCAACGACGTGTTCAAAGGAACGTATTTCACAATAAATACAAAATGTCTCAACTAGCTGATTTTGATGTGGTGCTGCAGGCATTGAAAACGGAGAAGAAAAAGAATGTAGACCTTCTGCACATGTTTGTGTATGAA